CCAATTTCGATGTATAGGTCTGTTACTGGATTTCCTCAGAATTGAACTGACGACTTTGATTTCAGGAGAGCACCATAACCATCCAACTACAAGTCAATTCAATACTAGGTTCCCTTAGTATGTGTTTAAACCATCAGTAACATAAATCAACCAACCAAAACGTAATTCTTATTAATTTCATTCAAAATTGTCACTATTACTATTGATAACTTCCATTTACAGTTTGATATTCACCCAACCTCAAAATATCAAATTATGTATGAATCTTTTTAATTCAAAGCGTTCTTTTGTTTTATCACACATTGTGATGGTAGCCACCCTTTCTACCTGAACTACTTAATATTTGAGCAGGTTATCATCCTCATCAAATTTAATACACCTTTTATTTAAAAATAAATGTTTGAAGTCTTTGACACAATATGGGCAATAGGCCATAAGAGAGAAGCTAACCACAATAAAGTATGCAACTAAGTTTTTTTTCTTTATTTTTGGTTGGTCATCAACATGTAGTTAGGCACATGCAACTAAAAGGTTAGAAAATGTCTTACTGGTCTTCGAGCACAAATTGAATTCAACAAAACAGTTTTTAAATTGTTCTCAAAACCGTTGACTGTAGTAGTCAATGCCAGTATGTTTTGAACGGGTAGGTAAATACCCTACTAAAATTCGTTGTTTGCTGTCAAGCCCGTCCAACTACAATCCATCCTATCATTCAATTAGTCAGGCCGCGTAGAGTTTAGAGTCTGTGACGTCACGCTGGCCCGTTGTTGATTACGGTTATCAGCGCATTGCGGTTCTCCCTGTATAATGTCCGACCTTCATTGACCTCGTAGCGCCACTTTCGAAACTCCCACAAATCGCTGCAAGTCTCCTCCAGCTGCTGGCAGAACGCTCGTCGTACCTAAAAAAATAGGCCCTACCTTGTTGCAGCCTGCTCTAAGTTCTATAGTTTAACAAATCGGGATGTTTGATAATACCCGATTTATCAATCAATAGCAGTATAGTAATTAAAAACTTAGCTTTATGAGTCCATATAATGTTGACAATGTTTTAATTATCTTTTTTAAATCTGTGTGGACATGAAAGGAAAAAATATAATTATCATAAAATATAGGTTATTTCACTGTATAATTTTAATTTAATACAGAATAATGGGGTAAACTTCACTTTAGAAGAGAATTTAACGTCACAAACTTATGTTACTAAATATCGGAACAAATTTGGTATCCTGTAGAAGTTGTAATCTGTTATCTTACAACGGTTTACAGCATCGACAAGAAATAGTTTTCCAAGCTAAGTCACAATCGCTTATTAGTTTATCATAACAGTGATGGACTTGGTCTACGTGTTTTATGTGGAATATGAATACAGGGTTCCTAGTCTATACTTCTAGTTTATACATATACTATGGGGTATAGGGGTCAATTAAAAGGGGGAGTGTAGGATGAAGATGGTATGTGTAGTTTGGTTACTAAGATCAGGCGTTTCTTTTAGCGAGGACCGCCCAATCTTTTCCGTAAGACACTAGGCACGAGACTGGGATTGTTTTTCACATTTCTTCAGACTAGATCTAGGGGTTGCGGGAATATCACTTAGATATAATTCATTGGTTATTTGACGGGATTTGATCACGGGACCTCAGGGACTGTAGTCCCGCGCTTTAACCACTAGACCAGCTCGTTCCCAAATGACCAAGGACATTTAAATCTATGTAGAACATAAATCAACATTGATCATTAACCAGTGAGTTGACGTAGAAGCAAACTTTTGTTTGGGCAGTTGCCTTCCATACTAGTATAATCTCTGTTGCTGTTTGAAGCAATTACTTTCGTGCACAGCTGGTGCAGACAGCATGTCAGTGGGGCGAGAAAGTCAGTCTGTGGTCTATGGTAATGGTGATGGTAATGCCACTGGCGATGGTATGGTTATGGTTACTGACCACGCCACACGAGTACATGCGGTCACTAGAGCGTACCTCAATCTTGGATTGGTCTAAAATGTGGACAATTTAAAATTTCAGATGATAATTTTAGTCGTTACGTGATCGTGAAGTTTTTTATTTATGTTGGTCACGGGATAGATCCTATTTAACCTTGCAATGATGTATAACTTGGTAAATTTTCAAATGATGGCCAATGTTGTTACACATGTTGGTATTTTTCGTCTCTAAACATAAACAATGATTGCTATGTTTTATTTTATTAGTATCAGCTTACTGCAAAATAAAAGTTAGACCTAAGTACAATGGTTTGCATGTAGGCCAATCGAGTTATTTCTCTCTTGTCCAAAATAAGGCTTCTATCACTTATGAACAAATTGTTCACAAATTGAACAAATTAGTCTAAAATTTAGTCCGTAATCTGTAGGACTTATACAAATAAGACATTAAGGAATAATGCAGCTGTTCTATCGTAAAATCAACATAGAAATAGAACTGATATGTACTCATTTTTGACAATACTAGGATTTTCTAATTTGTAAATAAAAGTGTGGCCTTTGAAATAGTTTGAAAGCTCATCAATAGCTTTGATGAAAATATCAAGAATGACGATTTAAACATGCTTCTACTGCTTTTTTATAAAATGTAACTTTCTAAAATATTGAATCAGATATCTTCAAAACGTAAGATACTGAAACTAAAACAGTTTTCGTATGGAGTGGTAGTCTTGCAATATAATATACTAAAAAATACTCTAGATTGTAAATTCAACGCATGGATCCACTTGGCCAAGGGTTGTGAAATACGCACAGTAACTATTTGTAATTTTGCCAAAGAGCATTGTGTATTCAAGCATCGTAAGATTGAACTAGGTCATAGAAACATACATGAGAAAGCTTATAACCAAAACAATTAATGGCGTTCGATTGACAAAAATATATAGGAATTTAATTAAAATTCTACTGTAGAACCATTGCAATATTTACAAGTTACCATAAATTTAATGGCATCATAGCATGTATACATGCTATGACATTAACTCAGAAAACAAAAGAACACACATTCGCTTTTTGCAATATGCCAGTTCTTCTGTTCCTCTATGTGATAAGATAATACTCCATCAATGCATTTTACATCTAAATCAACAAGGAGTTGGGAACATCTCAGAAAAAATACATTTACTATTTTTCAAGTTACGCTTGTTGCCAATAGATCATCCCAAACTAACGCAAAATGAGCATTGCCAGTTTTGATAACCATGAACCCTTATTTTGTTATGTAAGGTGTATCAAGTAACATATTTAGGTTAAGGTAGCAAATATTGAATATGCTAATCTGCTAGGTCATGTCTTCAAGGTAGCATGGCGGGAAATCCCGATACATGAAGTGCGTCAAGCTTTTATAAGCCGGTACATTTAGTATAATTATTGCACTATTTTAAAGACTATGTGTAAGCAATAACGTCCTATACTTTCCATGTTTTCTCCTCCAATCCTCTAAATAAGCAGCGGAGACTTTAACGAACGGGTAAAATGAAGTCGCTAAGTCGACATGACCATTTCTATATTACATTGATGTGCACATATTTAAGTAAACCAAAATTTGCGTATCATGTTGGATTCTGATGAAATTACACAATAAAAAAATTTACATTTATTTTAAATCCACAATGTCCTAAACATAAGAGAAAATAAATTATTGTGATAGTGTGACCAGTATGGAGGAAACGGCATCAATGTAAAATATGCGTTAAGGGGCTAAAGAAGATTCTTTTACCTATAGAATTGAAAAAAGAATCAGCTAGAGAGCGTCAAGTAAACCAGCTGGGGAAGCTGTAAATTGTTCTTACGTCGAGTGTAAATGAGGGAATGAATTTTGAGCAGTTATCGATCTGCACTTATCATTGCATTTATTGTTAATCAAATAGAAATGGATACTAAGTCTAAGCTACAGTAGAGACCAAATAGTTTAATTTCTCGGTAGTTGTTCGTTTATATAAAAATTTAACTATTTTTAGCCTTTCTTATAAAGGCAAACAGTATACTAAAATGTTCCTTTGAAGAATGGTACTGTGTAGGGAAAATGTAGTCCTTCGCCAAAGTGGTTTTTCGACACTCAAGCAATCTCCTCAACTCTGTTTCATGACGAATAATCTTCTATGTCTATATTTTGATAATGGTGATTCAGGACAAGAATTCCCCGTGTTATTCGGGGACATTTAAAAATAGTTCCCTAAAGTAAAAATTATTCTCCTCATAGTTGATTGGTGTAATTCCAATCAATGGTGAAATTCCATAAGAAAATATCGGGGAATACAATGACTCATCAATCAATGTTGCGGATCCTGATGTTTGTGCAACTTGTCGATGGTGTCATGTGTTTGCTACAATATGGAACTGACTGAGCAAGAGGTTGAAGAAAGAGTCTACGAATATACGGTAGAGCGCATGATATATTCCTCGATAGTACTTTATACAGTATATCGATGGATATACTCATTCTCATGTCACATTTCCTTAAAACTTTTTCTTAGATCCAACTTAAATTAAATCAATTATAATACACCCGAAACAAAGTTGTTAAAAGTTACACATGTTATCGGTATTGATATTGTACTGAAAATTGTGTTTACATTATGAACAACTGCTAGCTTTGTAAACCATTGGTTTTCAGATTAGCGTATCAGTTGGAAACCGAAATTACCTGCGAGGCAGATCTCATAGTGGATTTTGAGAAAAGATATCCTACTATATTCACCCCAGAAAATCTTAATATAATTAGTAAATGTTATTTGTAAAACAACATACAGTATAATGTAATCTATTATTATTTAAGTTTATGATAAAATGCGCTTCTTGATCTTTTCCGAAAGAGGGTAGTAATATAACAGTTACTATGCAAACAAACAAAATTGTGTGTAATGTATTATACATACAAACGTCAAACAAGTTTGTTGGTTCCACTGGCGTGGTTATTCACCTTGATACTTCTTTACTAGTTGTCTAAGGAATGTTCTACTCTTAGATAAACACAATGACTAACACAGGCATTTCTATTTCAGGCTTAAGGCCGCCAGCTTCTCTCACTCACCGCCCATCAAAACTAAGTGAGTAGAAAATCATTTTCCTACAGTTACCTAACAATGTACATGTTCTCTCACTGATTTGAGAAAGCAAAGTGGCCAATTCGCTCATCAGTGAGACAATGTTAACATTTTCTCACTCTAATTACTTTGTCTCACTCCAGATTTGCAACGTGAATGCACGAAATAGTGAGCGCGTCATGCAGACAAGGTCGTATGCGCGCGAAATACGTTGGCAGCACTGGTTGCTGGTAAAAGTCCTGTATTCAATTTTATTTTCTTTATCCTTGCCTTGCCAGTAATAATCAATGCGTTGCACAGGTGTTAACTAATATTTCACTCCGTGTTGCTTTATGGGACAGGCTGTAAATCCGGTCACGCCATTATTGATCTCTTCTCTTCAGTGCAAAATTATCTTTATTATCTTTGTATGCAAATTGCAGGTTTGGTATTGCATTCGTTCTGATTCATGCAACGTGTTCAAACTTGCATCATAGAACCATAGGCAATAAGATGCAAAACAGTAGAAATGCGCGTATGATTCCATTATATTTGATTAAATCTGTAATGTTACTGCAGTTTCAATGTAAACGGGTTAGTTTCGATTAGTTTGGTTTTAAATATTAGCATAGATTAAAGGAGTAGATATTTAATCTATGATATTAGTAGCTAACAGTTGGATTATTTACCTTTGTAACTAACCTATGAAAAACCATGACAATGGCCCATTACTGTATAAGAACCATTATAAGATATTTCTGTCTTGAGTTTACAATTTAAATCTTTGATATTACTTGAATAAGTCTAAAGTATATTCAATTTTTTTACAATAGGATATATCTACAATATATTTTTAGTGTTATTTTTCCTAGTTGCATTTCCAATTTCCAATGTTATTTTTTGCTTTAAATTTTTACATTTAGCTATTTTTAATTTTGGTTTAAATTAGTAAAAAAAAAAAAACTAAATCTGAATAGAATTTAGTGGGAAATTTAAACATCCAATCTGTGCTACTCATCGAAATGATTGGAGCTCGCATAATTAATTTTGTCAGTAGTCAGTTGTTAATATGAGAAGACAGTTTTCACATTCAGAAGTGAAGTAGTGATTAAAATTGAGGAATGTGTTTACAAAGAAAACCTTAGAAACCAAAGTTTTTGAGACTTACTGCTTTAAACCGTTCTTGGTCGAGTACATCAGCGCAGGTTTAACATGTCTCTGCAAATTAGAAGATTTGTGAATCCAATCCAGTAACAATCCCTCTAGAAATGTATTAAATAGACCTATATTTTGACCCAATGAATATAATTGTACTGTCGACAGGCTAATTGCTAATGGTTTTGAGAAACCCTGACCTTGAGTAAATCTCTAACACTTTATGTGTTTGCCCGGTATGCTGGTATATTGCAGCACTATGTTACACAAACCATCAACTCCGCAGTATAATTAGCGTCATTTGCCGATGCGGCGTCAATCTGGGACCCGCTGCAATTTCCGCGGCTTGGCGGGAGAAAGCTCGGATGCTGAGGGCAATTACGACGACGTGGGAACTTGCCAACTTCCGGCACTTTCCCGCCAATACTGTACACAGAGTACACTGGTCGATGCTTAGTATGCCATTGATTGTATATATATAATCAACGGTTATGCTGTACAAACGGAATTTTCCGTCACAGCGTCCTCGTGGGTGACCTGGATTTCGGCTCTTGTAAGCCCAAAATCGTAGGGGCAAAAATGTCGTGAATCATCGTTTTATTGTGTATTGTGTTCTTCGTGTGTAAAATGTTTGACGAAGTGGATCATTTTAACGCATAATGTATATGAGGTGGTTGTTGTTGTCTCGCCGTTTGTTCTAAATCAGCTTAGAAGGTGGGTCCGTTGAAATCGCCATTCCCCTATTCCCCATTATCAAGGCATTCGCAATTTCTCTGTCCTCGTTCTTTCAAATATCCTAATGAATGTCTGATTACTTGAAACCTGTGTTATTTCTTTATTTTTATTTGAAATGTAAACATATGTATCGTACTAGGGTTTGTCTTATATCAGAATCCCGCTGCTTCAATCCAGAGAAAATAATGCATCTTTTTGATAGCTCTCAACTGAATCCAGCTGACCTCAATTGTTAGACCCAGGGCCGGATCTACAAAATATGGGCCCCCCTGCAAAAGTCCTCCAAGGGCCCCTACAGCTGCGTAAGGGACTCCGGGGGGTTTGGGGGGTGTGGAGCACCCCCCAAGAGAAGAGGGGGGTCCGGGGGTCCTCCCCCGGAAAATTTTAACATTTTTATAGCCGTTTGGTGACTTTCTAAAGCATTTTTTAACGTCTAAAACTGTGTCCAATAATAGTCCAAAAACTCCCATTTCACCTGTTGTTTTGTCACGAGCAAGTAGACATAAGTAGAGTAGAGTAAAGTATATTTTTTATATATTTTTTACCAATTTATTTAATAGATCAGATTTATTATCCTAATAGAACTAGGCCTATATTAAAATATGAATAGATATTGCAAAACATAACAACTAATCCTCTATTGTGGTTTCTATTTCATAATTTAACTTGCACTTTTTAAACCTAGTTTTAATTTTTAGTTTTAATCTAATTTATAGAAAATCCTTTTCTACCCTTGCATGATTTTTGAGATTGGGTTATAAACTAAATCAGGTTTTGGCGGGCCTAGCTAGCAGCTTTAACTCAACTCTCTGTTCAAAACTTACAACCTCACCACTGGCATACTTCGTAGAAATGTTTTTCACCGAATTCATTGTTCATTAATTCGCACTTAACTACATTTATAACGAAAAGAAACAGAACAGAGGTACAGGTACAACTGTGTATATTAATTAATTATTTAATTTAACAACTATAGAATACCGGTGGCACGGCACGATAAACATAACCCCACAAAACTACAGTAGTATTCAATATTTGAATGATCTCTAAATAATTGCGTTGACAGATCGAGATCGTAATAAGATTTATAGCTTTTCAAATTATAAAATGCATATTGTACAACAAAGTAAAAGGTTTTTTACATTAAGAATTTCAAGAATAAATAATAAGGTAAAGTAATAAAAAAACGTCTTGATTCAAACTTTGTTTCTTTTTTACAATATATTTTCAAGGTAGATAGGTCTACATACAAATCATGTTACATGATACAGTACTAAAATGTCTTCTTTCTGGTTTTCATTAAAGAAAATCTCTGTACAAGTTCTCTGTGATTAAGTTTGGAGGCTTCTTTCTCGTTAATTGAAATTACACCTAGGTCACTTAGTCTCTCTTGGCCCATGTTGTTCCTCAAATAGCTTTTTGTTCTTTTTAGAGTAGAGAACGACCTCTCTGCAGACGCCACAGTTACTGGTAATGTAAGAAAGATATTTATAGCTGTAAGCACTTCTGTAAAGCTTGAGGAAATAAACTCAAAGTCCACATACAACAGTTTAGCAAAATCAAACACCGATTTCACTTGGGCAATTTCATCCTTTAGGCTTCCTCGCAAGGAAATAAGCTCCAAAGAAAAAGATGGTCCGATGTCTTTAGCATATTTTTGTTGAAGAATGTTGCCTCTCTCTTTTATTTCATTTTCTGTTAGGGCTATCAGTGTCTTTGGAAATAACACAGAAAATAGGCGGACAACACCTTCAAGAGAAGAAAATCTCTTGCAAATCTGCCCATTAACTAAGTCAAACAACTTGTAAAAAACATTAATTCTAAACATTTGGTCCTCATTAGAAAACCTGTGGTCTTCAGATAGCTCGTCATAATGTTTCTTTACCATAGTCTGTCTCTTTGGCATGAACACAGGATCTACATTCCATCTTATAGCAAGATCTACAGCTTCTTGTTTGACTGTATTGTATTCTTGTCTCATCTTTAACAGAGTATCTTTGCTTCTTTGAAGAAGGTCTGTAGCCTTTTCAAGGTCTTTTTCTTTACCTTGGAGAAGCTTTGATACAATATTAAGCTCTGTGAATACCTTTGAAAGCATAACTGTTAGCAAGATAAAGTCAAAGCTGTTAATACTTTTAAGTAATCGTTTTGCTTCTGACACTTCCTCTGCTTTTTTACTTTCGAGAGAAATTCTAACTAAAGTCTTAATTACGTCTGGGTATCTCATTTTTATTGCCAGAATCGATTCATGTCTTGATGCCCATCTCGTGGGGTTGAGTTTTTTCAGAGTTATTTCTGATTCATTTGTCAAAGAAGAGAGCAAGTCCCATCTGTTGATGCTGTGGCCAAAGTAAACATATAGTGCTTGAAGAGTTGTAAAATATGCGGATATTTCCTTGATGTTGTTAACCGTATCATTGATGACTAAATTGAGGTTGTGAGCTGCACAGTGTACATAAATAGCAAGTTCTTCAACACTTTGAATTCTCGCTTGAACCCCAGAGTATGCTCCACTCATAGTCGAGGCCCCATCATATCCTTGACCTCTACACTTGTTAAGGTTTAATCCAAACCCTTGCAATGTATTTAAGATTACTGTAGACAGCCCTGCCGCAGTTGAGTCTTGAATATGATAAAATCCCAAAAAGGATTCTTCAATCTTCATCTCTCTTTTTTTATTTGCATCTTCACTTAGAACATCATCACATCCACTTAATTGAACGTATCTGATGATAAAACTCAGTTGATCTTTTTTAGAAATATCCTGTGTTGTGTCAACGATAATTGAGAAACACTGAGCTTTGTTTACGTTTGTTATGATCTCCTCGAGAATGGCTGAAGACATGCACCGAATGATTTGGTTTTGAATATCATGGCTTAAGTAACGAGTTTGGCCTTGAGACGAATTTAAAGCTTGATTCAATATAGGATCGTATTTTGAAAGCAATTTAACTACAGACAAAAAATTGCCATCATAATTTCCCCCATGTTCTTTGGAACCTCTAAATGCTAAAGAGTTTTTTGCTAACATTAAAGTTACATCAAATAATCTCTCTAAAAGCTGAGCCCAGAAAGATTGTTCACGTTTGTTTTCTAACTCCATATGGTCGTCAATTTTTTTGCTTGCTTCCCATTGGTGTAAAACCAGACAGGCTGAAATATGTGAATGAGATGTGCTATGATATTTAATTTTCTTAGACAAGCCTTGCCAATCACTTATTCCGTTCACCCAATTTAATTTGCTGTCAGATCCAGCAAATAGCCAACATGGTAAACAATAAACACAATCTTGTATTAAGGAATAATTTAACCACTTTAAAGGAAGAGACTGGCATTGTGTGGATTTCTCTGTATTTGTCTTGTAGTATGCACAAGAGAAAGATCTATTTTTTTCGTTCTTTGGGAAAGGTCCTTTGGGTTGACAACTCCCTGTTTTCACAATGAAAGTCTTAATTTTTTCTGTTAAGACGACATTTTCAAAATGGCCTTTATCGGTAGGATGTTGTTTCTGAAGCAAAGCAACAATAATGTCATCTTCGGTATCTAACTCCCCAATGTTAACAGTACTGTCATCAGTGTCATCACGTGCTGCGTCGTCTGCGATTATGTCTGAATTTTGACTTTCTTCTAATAGTCCTCTTGATGGGCTTGGAGTGACGATCTCATTGACTTTTTCAGTTGTTTCCAAATCTAAAAATATGAACGCTTTAAAATAACTTTGCATTGTTAGATAAATGTTATTCTTTGACCTTTTTGGAGTAATTTTTACCTATAATACAATAAGTAGGCCTACTTTTAGAAGAAGAGTGTTGTATTCAATTATTGTCACAACAATAAATTTTATACCATGTGAGCATCTATATTAAAAAAAAAAAATGTGCATGTTTATGTTTGTGTTAGTTTTCAATTCACAGTACTGGACAGGGACAATAAAACAAGAGGCATCACAGTGACAGTAAGTGAATACAATTCAAACGATCGTAGTTTATTTAGTTTTTGTCACCGCAGAAAAAACTTTGCACCATTATGTTAAGGTAAAAATCTAGTTTCTAATGATATATAAATTAATATAGGTTCCTATGGTCACCTTAATATGCATAATTTCCAATATCGCCTCATGGGCTGTAACGTAAGTTATTGGTACCTACTACATATAATTTAGAGCTGCTTTCCTCAAATAAGTTAGGCCCAAACCTTGTTACAGTTTAAAACGAACTATTGGATTAAACTTATTTGAGCAAAGTGGCCCTGGCCCTACATCACTTATATAGACTAGTCAAGTTAGTGTGAAAGTGACTTGTATTGGGCAATGGGCAATGCATGCTAGAACAACGGAAGGACATAAAGTTTTGATTTTACAATGCAGTAGGTCTATGCAGCTAGTCAATATAACCAATATAATATAATAAAGCCTATATGTATAGGCTACCTTGACCAACATCCAGGTGAAGTGAGGTAGTTAGGTAGTTTAATATGGTACGGCACTCACCAACTTTGGAAGTTTGATTCAGTGTAATTTGTTGGGTTTCTTCTTCTGGCTTATTTGGATTTTGTGGACGCAAAAACGACGTGATTTTCTTATTGGATTTGTTAATATTTTCATTTTCCAAACGTCTTTTTCTCCGTTTAGCAGCACCACTCGTACTACTTAATGTGTTCGACTCCATCTTTATCTGATAAGTATCACATGCATAACCTGTTTATCCTCGCTTCTTTCCAACTCTTGACAATATAAAATCAAACACACACAAGTCATTTAACATCCAACCACAAATAATATTACATTACACAACTAGATTAAGAAAACTATGAACTATAGATGCAGATTTAGGTAGGTCTTTATTAGATAACGCTACAAAGATTAGTACAAGTAAGTCCCTCCTGTACCACGACAGACTTATGACTTATTGTTCAGCTCAACTGATGTGAGAGTGAGTGCTAGTGCTAGTTGACACTTCGTCGTCCACGTCGCTCGGTCCGATCGGACTGTAGTGGATCTGTGAAGCTCGCCATGCAGCTGACGTGCTGACGTGCTGACTGGACTGAGCTGACTGAGTATGGACTGACTGAAAGTGGCGAGATTGAACTGTCTAGCTAGGTCGAGGTCCCGAGTTGTCGACGAGTAAAATCACAAGTCTAAATTTACTTAATAATTCTAACTTTAGCTTTGATGTTGGTTGACAATATTTATTTGTGTGTCAAAACTAAACTTGCCGTCCTATTCAATTATGTTTATATGCATTAAAATAATTTTAATTTTTACGACCTCTTTGGGCCCCTAAAGGGCTCGGGCCCCCCCGCATTGCGGGGTTTCGCGGTTCCTAGATCCGGCCCTGGTTAGACCTTTGATAAATGTTCCTGGCTAGAACAACAGCTGAACTTAGTAACATCCTGCCATTCACACTTAGACCTTTAAAGTTAGTACACAAAACGCGTCACTGTCTAGTGTCTGGAGGAGGCTGATTTAGTCACTGTAAGTTCGTGAAAGACAAGTAACACAATCAGCTGTTCAGTATCCAGATTCGCCAGCCGCGGAGTCTGTGTGAAGGTCACGCTCCAGATCTGGCCAGTGGCTAGCCATGACCTTGTGGGAAAAGATTGCGAAATGAGAAAAAAATCATGAAAAACACCTTGTAACGGGAATATTGAATGAGGAAAGTCTAGTGTATGTCTGCTAGGCGTTGCTGAGGCATTTACCTTCCTCCAGTGCTGATCATAAACAAAAATTACTAATATGACCAGGCTGAAGAGGACATAGTCCTAGAACAGTCCAGCCATAGTTCAGGCTCGGTCCAGTGGAGTTTCGGCTCCCTGGACTGAAACACCAGTAAACGACAACGATATGGCAGCGGTGGATAAGACTAGGACTAGACATGGTATGACAACCTTTACTAAAAGTAGTAGATGTTTTGTCACCTACCAACTCGACAATGTCGATACATATTCAAAATTAGCAACGTAGGCTACATGAGAGTACGTCTTAAATAATATGCTGGACGTGGTCCAGACAGCTCTGCTTTAAATTGCATAGAAGATTACTTATTAGAGATTCAGATTATTAACTTACACCTAGGAATAAACAGTGCCCTGCCTTCATTCTGTGCTTCTACATGTATAGCACTAGACTTACTGTTCAGATTCCTATCTCCTCTTAGATTTATAATTAGCTTTTTAGTATGACATAATTGAGATCTCTGTTGCAGAGAAAGTTCTCGTGCACATTATGGAAGCCCTGAAACCGAATTGCATGGTTAAGTTTCTGCTTAAACACATTTTAAGGTGTTACTCCGCTATATTCTGTCGAAGGATTCCGTATACATAAACCCGTCAAAGTTGTGAATGGAGTTTTACTTTGTTTCGGAGGAAATTTTCTTTATGCCTTGAGCCTTTCTTTTCTATGGTTCGCGATTGTACAAATCTGATCCCCAAAAAATAATTTATTGGATTCATACTTAGCAAAGTATTAATTGAAAGAGTCTAATCAAATACACTATATCAGGGCCACCGCTGTAAAATATTTCTTAACACAACCAACAACTGAAACGCTGTTTATAGCGCTCGTTTGTTGTGTGTTGCAAAATCTTTTGTCACGGAGGTATATTATAGAGAGGGTGGTCTTAAAAGAAGTCTCGCCCAATTTAACGAACGAAACGCAAGCATAATCTTATCTGCAAATGCTGTCAGTACGTTATGTACTCTTGTATGCGTAGGGAAATCGTGCACGACTTCGACTTATTGCAAAGGTTCAGTATCTGGGATCATTTCATCTACCCAAATTGATCTCTCCAGGTTATGTAACGCTAAAAGTAATTATTCCTTAAGGTAGGGAAAGTATTTAGGAAATCCGCATTACTTGTATTACGAATGAAAACGCTATACAGTAGTTCCGTTTCTGAAACCAGTTTTAAATCACTGCACAGGAGGCGTTATCGGTTATCAGAACATTATCTGCAAAAGTAATTAGCACAGTGATTTACACATCAGACCAAACGATCACCATTTATCAATACGAATTCCAGTAGAGAGCCTATAATTTTCATCGCCAAAAGAAACGTCAAATCCTCCCAAAGGCTTGTGAAGTTACAAAAAATTAATGGGGAGGATGAGAATGCCATAGAGCAGCAGCAGGTGGTCATTATATAGCTGTAGAGGGAGGAAGGCAACGTGGGGAGAGGTCAGTCATCTTCTGTGTAGGGTGTTGTGCAAGTGTTAGAGGTTGTAGAAGAAATGCAAACTGGGGGTAAAAGTGACTGGGCCATTCCAGGGGTGAGTTTTTTTTTTCATTCAGTGTTTATTCTACAACTACAATCATCGGACCTTTTCCGTTCATTCACTAGGTGCCATTAGTTTTTAGAGGAATAGATTATTAGCAATAGAAGTGGCAGTGAATTAAACTTTGGTATGGTTAGGTTAAGTTAGTATAGAGTTAGAAAACCCTAACCTAACCTAACCACATTCCCCTTAGTGGTGGTGAATTCACGATAACCATAAACTATGTAGCATTTTTTTAAACTGAGTTCTGTGTTCTACATATTTTACAGCTGAAGGGGTCAGGGGGAAAACAAACATAGTCACAAAAAATCAAAATTGAGATAAGTATGCCTTAAGAATAAACAGTAGCTGTATTTTCACTTCGTGCATTCAGTTCAAGGGAATAACGCTTAAAGTACACAGAAAACCACAAAAAAAAAGAAATGTAGCCCCGATGAATAACGCATGAAGTCACTAGGGTCAGAGGAAACCTATCAAAGCCCAAGCCCGTATACATACGAGTACATGTCTGCTCCCGTCTCCCTAGAAATAGTACATATTTTCTTTCATTACTATTACTTTTTCTCCTATACTTAGTGTAGGCCTTTGTTGTGAAAGTATTGTTTTAGTCAAATTTTTGAAGTTTGAGTTTTGGGTAGATGTATTCGTTTTGGGACACCGACACAGAAATTTATACAAGACTCATCTTTGCTTAGACTATAATACGTACAACAAAAACCTCAATTCTACGCAATGTACAGACAAATCAGCATCCTTGTAGTGTATATTGTATTATTAGCTGGTTAGACGGCTCGTGGGAATGACCAGTGGTTCGCTCCTGGAAACCCTTTGGTTCAGCGACGACTGTAGAGCGTGGAGATGCGTGAAATAGAAGATTACCTGGTCAAAGTAGGGCTGAGGCTGGTCGGTCACTGCTTACGTCATGACTGGGTCGTTGACAGCTAGGAGCCGTCACGTCTGTACTACGCACGACCAAATCATTATCTTCCGTTCGTCTGATGTGTAAACTGCTGTGGCACTTCCTACTGTGTAATAATACAACACGACAACTGCACTAACAATTACTGACACTAGGAAAACGTTTATCCTTTAGTTTGTCCACTGTGACACAATCTTTGTTTCACTTTTTGACGTAATCTATTCCGACATTGTCGGTCACCGATGTAGTATTCAAGCAAGTATAAGTAAGTGTGCAGCAGCATTGATTTTAAATAGCTCAAGTGCACATAATCCTTTTGTAAAAATCTGATTTGGTGTTTCACGGAAGGTTGTGCGCTGATGTTGAATAAACGAATTCCCCTTCGTTTGGGTAATTTTTTTCATGCCTCAGAGGTGTATTTTATTTTTACGTTTAAAAGTTAGTGAAATAGCAATACTAGTAAATAAACACCAAACAACAAAGACATAACTAGTTTTCTTATGATGTTCCATATGAATGAAAAATCGCTATGGAGGGATTGTAAGTTTAATCTATGGTTGTAGACAATTTAATGTATGTTTGAGGTCTTCTCGTTTTACCTAATGTTATTATACTGCGAGTACTCTAGTATTTTAATCAAAGAGCTTTGAATATATAACACTATTGATTGTTGTAGATTATATTCAATGGTAACGGGCATACTGTTGCATCTTCCAAAAATAGGAGATGCATATTTGGACAACATCAACGCACTACTCTTTCCCGCTTCAACACAAATGAAAACAAGGTTCATCTTCAAAGTTGTATTCGGAGTAACATAAAAGTTTAATTGGTTTGTATCACTTTGGATATATTTGACATTCTCCTCACTGCACCTTTCTCCCATCATTGAGACTTCGTGAAGTGAGCTCTTGAATTCTGTGATATTGTGTGATATTGTGATATTGTTTTACAATGTTAAGGCCCCGGAATGGTTTGCCTTACCTTCGAGGAATTTATTCACGCATTGATTCGTCTTAATTGTTACTTTTTATCCATTTATTGTGCTCATTTGACTATCAGTTAGTTGTACACAACTCATACTATAGGTTTGTTTTGAAGCACGGGGATTGATGTTTTGTCTCGTACATGACAGACAATAAACATCACTAGTTGTCTCAGAGACGTCAAGTACAGCCACACCTAGAGACAAACACTTATGTCACCTTCCTTTGTCCTGGATCCGCTTCCTGGGATTTCAATGTTCAAATTAAGGACGCGCGCCAACATCTTTATCTCACGCAATCCATTCTCTTCCTTCCATTCATAACACTAGCGTAGTCAGGTAGTCAGCCTCAAGCTACGACTTTCTTAACATTTCATGGCTGTAGTTTATGAATGTAAAAATAAAAATTGAACAGTGAACTATTTTAGGTTGTTAATTCCTTTATGTATAATGGTTGGATTCAGTATCTATGTTCTTTTAGTGTCTTCGCCAGTTTATTTTCAATGGAGCAACAGAACTTGGAAAGAGGACCAAAACCATCGAGTTGTGGATGTTAGGGCTCGAACCCACCGTTCTCACACCGAAAATCAACGCTAGCCACTAGGCTAACACTCCCAAATTGCTATATTATGCCACTGCTTTTTGAAGTGACACCATAACTAATAGCTTTTAAGTTCTTACTGTGAAAAAGTGTTTGTCCGTTGATATTACAGTATTTTAAAATATATAAAACTAAAAAAAATACTAATGAGCCCAAAGCTTATGGAAGAACTGTCGACGGTAGGAAACACAGGATCGGAAATAGGAACAGACAACCGGTGAAAGGTGGAAGCATAATTTCTTGAGGAGATGATGGTTACATTTGCTGCGGCAAAACCCGAGGGTTTATGATTGTTGCGTTGGCATTACGTCACCGCGCGTTTCAGGTGATTGACCAGCTGATAGGCCGGAAAACGCCGCCGCTTATCGTCTTACGGTTTTTGGCGCGTGCGAATGTCAACTGTCAATAGCTATTTTGTGTGGGGTACTGTATTAAAAGCGCAAAGTACATCATTGCCGCTAGCTGAGTGCGACTATACATTGAGAGTGGCAATAATTGTTTGTGCTCGTAATATAGGCTACACAAGATTTTTCCTACCACCACTATCTTAATACTGAAAAAATGTTTGCTTGTATATAAAATGTCATTTTAAACGTTGTTTGTTTTTTAGGTTATGTTATTACCTGCTTGTTAATGTACACCATCCGCTGAAACGCCAACAGTGAAATCAGCTGATTAGCGTAAATGAGCTGTTTTGCGTACTGTTTGCAGGTGTAGCAATATGATCATTTCCATGCAGTGGTAGGAAAATTATTTTGGGAATCGTGACAGATTAAGTAGGTAGTAATAAATTGTTGCCTCAGAATATTTTGTTACCAATACAAGACTATGTTACAACCAGAAAAAGTAAATACAAAACAATATACCAAAAAAGCACAATGTTAACTATAATTTTCTATACTTTCAACTTGCACATTCATTCTTTAGTCACAAGTCAATCATCAACATAGTAGCATCTTAGGTACCGGTACCACCATTGGCTTTTATAGCATACAAATAGACATCCTCTGGGTTACCTAAAAGGATCAGCTATAGCCAATGATAAAAAAATGAATATAGCTGAATAAGCAATTCCTAGTGTCCTATTGATATTTTTTGTTAAATGAGACATGAACGATGTCATAGTGTACAGTAAGTACTGTAGTACTGAATTAATTACTCTCAATAATTTGTATAGGTTGAAAAGTCTGTAGGGGGCTAAAAAAGAATATGTCCAAACGTTTAAACAACTTTAACGTGTGTTCGTTTTATTTTCTGAAAGCTGCTACAGTTGTATGCAATTTAGATGGTTATTTCTATCAATAGTCAAAGGTGTCGGGTATCACCTTCACACACTCCCTCCTCATCCAAAACTTTTATTTATCGCACCTACGCCAATCTCCTAAAAGAAAATTTTTTGAACTCTTAAGTCATCCGACATCCATCAGAGGATTGCTGCAATTACTAAAAAACTTCTATTTCCTTGCAGAAGATGGGTTGTGGAGTGAAGTGTGTGGACAATCTCCTGACCCGGAGTTTCTACAAGCTCGGAATCCAGATCGGCCACACTCCCGGCTACTTCCTCATCATCCCCGTGCTGTTGACACTCCTATGTGTCACCGGTTACCACCAGATACATTACCAGATGGACCCGGAGTATCTGTTCAGTCCACAACAAGGTCCAGGCAAGACGGAGAGAGCCATAGTCGAGACATACTTTAAAATGAACTACACCAGTCGATTCAATCCAACCCGAATCACCAGGCCAGGTAAGGGTTGAGAGTGTTTAAGTAGTTGATAGAGATTCTATGGGAATTGGTTATGTTGTCAAAGAGGTCACTAAAGTTACATGTAAATAAGTGTTGCGTGTTTTGAAAAATTGGATATTGAGAAAATTATGAGAAGGAAACTTAACTTTTTGATTAGAATCATACATTTTGGTGCTGTTTTACAAGTGAAATAAAACTTTCTTAAACATTTCTTGAGGCCATTTACACGCATACAGTAAACCACCTCTCAACCGGACTCCTTTGGGACCGAGGCCAGTCCGGATAGCAGTTTTTCAAGTTAAATCAACATCCCCTAATTGCCACAGGAATCACTTGAAACCCAAATATTTTACTTAAATTTGGGAGAGCCTTAGACATGTGATCAGTGGTCTCAAATCTTTACCCATAGAAAATTCATTTCAGTACCGGACACTTCCTGCCGATCCAGTCCAGTTAAACAAATGTGTTGATAGGTAGTCACTTCTGCTGAGTGTAGTCCGGTCAAACCAATCTATACATTGTCTTGTACATATTCATATTGACATTACAAGTGTAAATGTATTGATAGTGTAAAAATATGTCTTTTATTTTATGAAAATTAAGTTGAAACGTGTAATACTTTTAATAACGGCAAGTGAGACCTGATAGGCAACAGGCAACTATCAACTCTTTGGAGTGGTATATTGATTTTCATAAAAATCTAATGAAAATAAATGGAAAACCCAGGATACAAACATATCTAATCTAGGCCATAAGAAGAATGTATTGTTATTTTAATGAATGCTATGAACAATGATAGAAACAAACACTGAGTTATGTATATGATGAAACAAGCATTTATCATTAGTAAAGAGTAAAGACTATGATTAGGTAAAAGAGAAATAACCTTCTTCTATTGATTTTTATTTTCTTACTCTTAATGTTTTCTTTTACTTCCATTATTTTCCCCAGCACTTTATTTCTAAAAATATAAAATATACATCTAACATAAGCTATGCCAATGGCGTAAAACTAACAGAATCTTTCATTCTAGGTCGGTTTGGAAGAGTAATTGTGATACCAAAGCACGGCAGCAACATGTTGTCAGTAGAAGTGTGGAAGGAACTGCGAGTATTAGACGGAATCATCAAGAACGCCACCATAGTGTTTGGTGAAGAGCAAAGAAGCTATACATACGAGGACATCTGCGCTCGATGGGTGGACCACTGCTTCGAGAACGACATTCTCAATCTTGACCACATCATGGAGGAGGTAGGAGAGAATATGACTGATTTTATTAATATTATAAATAAATCCATCAATCTTTGCTGATGTGCTGATGAGTATAGCAAAGATAGCTCTAGAGCAAGGAATGATTTCAGCTGTAAAGAGCCGTGAATAAAGTTTGCTTAACATAAGAACGTCACTAGTTTGATTCTGAGAAACGTAAGTAGTTTTCTTAATGGTTTGAAACCAGACATAGCTGTCCATGATCATGGAGGCTTTAAAATGGTCCTGGTTATGAAACAGCTGGTCTCAGTCTGTAACAAAGCTACACAGGTTTTCTCACTCCATTCTTCACTTATTCATATTTAACAAAAAATATGCAGACAATTGTGCGCTACCTACCATTTCTGTCTTAAAAAATTGTAGATATTACTATACTTGTGTGGAATTTATTTAAGGACTTTAAAAAGGTGTGTTATCACCATTGATTTTCATAAAGCATTGTTCCACAGGTAGTCAACAAAACGCTGAACCTAACATTTCCAATAATGTTCAACCCAGTGACGTGGGACGCTCACACATTCCCAGTCTACTTCGGAGGTACGGTGGTGGACGATGACGGCATCATCATCAGCGTACCCTCGCTGCAGCTAGCCTACTTTGTCAATGCAGACACTAAGACACAGGATGCAAGGTACAGATCCTTGGTAGCAAACATCTCTTGATACCTATGATACACACAGAAGTTTACTTTTTTACAAAATATATTTTCATGAACTTTAATATTGAATATGATGCTAAAAACATGTTAACTAAATAATATTGTTTACGAATAAATGTATGTCCATGTCCTGTAGTATTTCTTTTAAGTAATTCACGTACAGTATTATGGTAACTACTTCAATTTAATCATTTTTCATATTTTATAAATAAAAAACATACTAATTGAACTAGATTCAGTCAATTTAGACGATTAAAACATGTTAGATCTGGACAAATCTAGTTAACTTGAGAACTGGAGGAAAGGTGGTTTAAGGATTCAAACAGTTCAATGGTAACAGTATATAAGTTTATGATAAATATCATTCATTTTAAATGGAACAACATATGTAGGTCTATACAGATGGTTATATGAGTAGTTTAATCATTGGAGTAGATGAACCATCCCAGCCAGCTCAGGTTGTGCTGTTTTCCCCAAGTTTCCTGGGTCAAGGTTATTTGACACACTTAACTACAGTTAGCCTTCTGCCATTTCAGCAAGTTTCCATATCTGGACTTTATAATGCCGCCGAAACTTAAGATTGTTTTATGAAAAATTACTTTCTAGTATTTAGTCAAATACTCATTTCATTTATTGTGTACACTAATTAATATCATTTATTCGTGAACTAAGACAAATATGTCGCAAAAGGTATGAAAGCTGGATAAACAAAAATACATCTTAATAAAAAGACCTTGTGTGAAATCAATAATTTTTTTTGTGTTTTACGCCGTTGGAATTTAAATTTTAAAAAATGTTTTATAGTGATGGTCGAACCTCTTCATATCTGAAGAGGTAATGAAATAATTAAACTCACTATCGTGTCATTAATTAATTGATAGAGGAATGCCATGGTATGGGTCCAGAAAAGATAACAATTAGAGTTCTATTATTTATTTTTTTTTATTTAATCATCAGGATTATTTTAAAACTGTAACTATATTTATTGAAAATTATGCTGTTTAAAATTATTCAGGTAAAATATTTTGATTATTTCATAAGTAAAGTAGTAATAGTAAAAATTAACCCTTCAGATACACTCTTGATAAAAAATTATGTTTTAATCGTAACTTGGTATTAATTACAATTTTTTTTTGTCGGATCAAATGGATTGTAGTTTGTTATCATTAAAATATATTGCATTTTTATTTTTACAATATAAATTAAATTGTATTAGATTTTTGTTTTTTCCCCTTGCTGACATATACAAGTCACATCGCCAAGCCATAAGTGACTGTGACAGGGGAATGTTGACCCAGCTATCAACCATTGAATTACCAAAAACTAAAATAAATTTATGTTTAAAATGAAAACCAAGTGGCTAGATATGAATTTTTTGAGCAATAGATTTCAGCTAGCTTATCTGAGAAAAGTATATTCCACCGGCTACTAGTAGATAAACAAAAATAAGATCACAAAACATAAAGTTGATATTTCGTACAAAATGTAGGACTTCTTTAGCGAGAAGATTTAAAAAGAGATTTCAGTTTAAATATAAACAGGAGTACAGTAATTGAGTAATTAAATGAATTTATGAGATTAGAACATAGAGAGAGTTTATAGCTCTTATCGTTGATATACAAGCAATTTTTATACTTATTGATATTTGTAAATAGAAAATGTGAATTATTTCATTTGTCTATGTTCAGAGGAGCAGTGTGGGAGGAAGCGTTCCTAGCGGCCGTAGGTAAAGCTGAGGACTCCGGAATGTTCAAGTACATCTCAACGGCTCGCTTTGCATCTCGAACTCTAGACATTGAACTGGAGAAAAACACTCAGGGAGTCGTTCCGTTCTTTGGCTCAACATTCGTCATCATGGCTGTGTTCAGGTGGGTCTTTTTTGTATGCTGAGTTATGTGGAATTACAGACATACATTTCGCTATAAGTCAGTTTATAGGTTATAAATATTGAGTTATATACTTTATATGGATTTTTGACTTAAGCATAATGTGGAATAATGTGCAATGAGTCAGGATTCTAAGTGTAAAATATTAAGTAAGTAGGCATAGTTTGATGGCATCGTACCTCTGTACTCTATTTGTTAAGTTTATTTTTGTCAAATCCTCAATGCTGAACTGAATAAATAGCATGGATTTGATGTTTTGTAATAAGCCAATTCAACTTTTAACCATACACTTCTAGTATTTTTAAGTACCGGTATGGATTTGATTTTGCCTTTTGAAAAAGCTTACGAGACACTATAACTACTGCAAATACAGTTCTTGAGCTATTTAATATGTAACCAATATGATAGATTCTTGTGACAAATCCTTAAAAGAATTCACACACAGTGAGAACAAAACTGACTCTAAACACTTTATGTTTTAGAGTACCTAAAATGAATGTATATATTTTACAGTGTACGATGATGCAATTATCTTTGTATCTTTGACTTATTAAACTAACTAATTGACTGTTTGTTGCAGTGTCATCACCTGTATGATGGTAGACTGGGTCCGGTCAAAGCCTCTGTTGGGGTTGCTGGGTAATGTGTCGGCTGCTATGGGCACAGTCGCAGGCTTTGGTCTGGCTATGTACTGCGGCATTGACTTCATCGGCATCAACCTTGTATCTCCACTACTCATGTGCAGTAAGTAGAAGTTTTATATCAACTATCAGTGTGAATAGTTGTGTTTGATGTTTGGGATTGGGAAAATGAAAATACCACACCATCAAAGACATTTAGGGGGGAGTAGCTATTAAAAAACAACATGCTTGGGAAATCTCATGTAGATGTTAAATTCTTAGATGATCTTAAAAGAAAAAAAAATACAGACATTACAAATTGTAATCTTAAGGAACAGTTTACAATTTACAGTGCAGAGTATGTAAATTAACTATTCCATTTACCTGATGAATTTTGATATGAAAATTTGTATATAAAAATAAATTAATTGATATAGAAAATCTTGCAAAGGACTCGTGTAAAATCCCAAAATTATTTAGTTCCCTGTAAATTACATATGCATAGTCTCCACACGTAATTGCTTTATTTAAGAGTATTTATTTCATTAATTAAGTACCTAACTAGTTGTAGTTATTTTTCAGTTACTCTGATAAAAAAATATTTTTCTAGTGAATTATGTAACATCAAAATATGAAAAAAGTGTAGTGTGTATTGTTGTACTCACTACTGATTTTCATTTGGATGAACTAAAACTCGCCATAAGTATCTCTATAAAGGTGGCAGGTGACTGTTTTTCAATACTTAAAAAAGCCAGTTGGGTTCCGTGGTTGACCCAGATTCAAATTGTAGTAAGGATACAGTACGGACCAAATGAAGGGTTCAAACATACAATCAAGTGTGAAACAATCCAAGGTGACTCGTCAATAAGCAATTAGTCCAGAACAGCAGAATTGTCCTCCTACCTGTACCTGGTGTTTGACCTGCATAGGTCTACTGCTCGGCTGTCATTGGTTGCAGATGAAGACTTAAAACTTATTATTAAACTAAGCACCCAAGAATACCAAATAATAACTCTGTAGCTATTTAACAGGTTTGAGTGAAATGATAGGTTCATAAAAGTATATTTTTCATTTGTCCAAGTATAAAGGCGAACATAAATCACCGATATGGATTTATTTGTTGGTATTAATAATACCAGGGATGTATGTAAATTAATTAAGGTCTCCATTGAGCTCACGAGGCATGCTGAAGCAAAATAGTTAAAATCTGAGACCAATAACTGTTAACATTACTTCATCTTCTACTGTTATTGCTGGTTCCCACCCTTATGGGGCGATTAGTCTTGTCATAATGTTTGAAAATGTTTAGAAAGAAAACTTTTCCCTTCATGTATAACTTCTCTGATTAGCTTTCTGTAGGAAGAAATCCCATGTTGATTAATCTTTCTGTACGTGAAGGAAAGTCGGAAAGTGTTTTGTTGTAGAAATTGTACATTAGTGGTTTAGGGGGTCTGCAGAAGGTCAAACACATTTGCACAACAGGGCCGGCACCAGGTGATCACCATTTCTATCGAGACATTGATTGGGTTTTAGGATACTTAGTATGCTGATTGACGTGTTTCAGACTTTCAGGGCTGACTGTAGTGGGTTGACAGTTTTTTTTAAATTTATGTTCTAACATGCTAATTAACTCTAACTTTGTTCACAGCTTTTGCTTGCTCGTTTGAAGTTTCAAACGAGATTGTTGAAATTTGATTAAATCTAATCAGAGTATGTGATTTATACTTGACGGAAGTGACCATTTTCTTTCAAAATATTTTCAAATACTATGACAAGACTAATCGTCCCATAGAGGTGGGAACCCGTTTGAATATTAGAAGATAAAGTAAAAGTAATGTTGTTGGTCTTAGTTTTTAACTAGGTATAACTAGCTTTTTGCAACAGGAGCACAATGGAGACTTTTAAATAACAATCAACAATATATAAGTCACCATCACTGTTCCTAATGCTAATGCTATATAGCAGGTAGAGATAAATGCAAAGTATGTGCAAAATAGATAAATTACACATTTGCGATGGTCGTTTGCTTGGCAATGCTCTCCATCAGTACTGATGATTTTGTATTGCAGACATGTAATGCTGATGATGTTGTGTTACAGGTATAGGTATAGATGACACATTTGTGATGCTGGCTGCTTGGCGTCGCACACCAGTCACCATGTCAGTTCCTGAGAGGATGGGTCACACTATGTCAGACGCTGCAGTTTCCATTACCATCACAAGTGTCACTGACATGGTCAGCCTCTGGATTGGAATGCTTAGTCCTTTCCCCTCCATACAAATCTTCTGTCTCTACTCAAGTGAGTGAAAACATTTGATGAATTGTTACTTCATAAAAAGTTTAAGGTGAAGTGGGCTTAAATGTTTTGGTATTTTGAAGGCAGCATTTTCAAACAAAGTGATGTAAAGTCATGAGTATTTAAATCAATAGTGATTACTGGTACCAGAATATGAGCCAATGGTGTTTTTTGTTACAAATTCTCTTGTTTTTATGAAATACGTGTAAATACCTGCTTCGTGGTAATCCTGGTTGTTGCTACAAAGTCATCTTCAGGCGTCAACGGATCCAGAGGGTGGCAAAGGTGGCTACCACCCCCCCCCCTCTGGCATACATATATATATGTGGCATACATATATATATACATATATATATATGTCTGTAAAATAATTGACACACAAACTTTGGAGACAGAAATAGTATAAAACTACCATTTTGGAGACATATAGTTTACACAAATTTTTGGGGGTTCCCCCAGAACCCCTGGTTTGCCCCCCCCCCCCTTGTGACTGTTCTAGATCCGCCACTGCGTCAAATATGTCAAAAGGGTGATCACTTCATACAAAGGTCGTCGTTACACACACAGTACAACACACAAACATGAACACAGACATTAATATTGTAAAAACGGTACATTTACAACAATTAAATGGGAACAAAAACGGTAACTGCAGTGTAGGAATGTGTGTCACGACCAGATGGATGCAAAGTCTTGTGTATCAACTACACTATGTAGGTATGGATGTCTAGACTTCAGACATACACTTCAGATGTGGATGCTAAACTTTGCGTCTGAAGATGACTTTTAGAAAGTCTAAACTAGTTGCGACGCTAGCAACAACCAGGATTAAGTTACCTTGAAGCAGGTATTTTTACACCAGTTTCATATATTCAACATAATCCAGAGGCCAACAAACAAATTTCTTGTTTTGGTTTCTGACACAAAGATGTCAGTGGCTGAGTTTCCTTTGCAACTTAGGCCTCTACTCAAAACTATTTTTTTCATAATTTACATGAATTGAAACTCTTTTTCAAATTATCCATATAAAACCTCACTCAATATACTAAAGCCTTATAGCTTGTCATTATAACCATGGTTTGTGATTCTAATTGATGTTTTTGTCACAGGTTTTGCTGTAGGGTTCATCTTCCTATGGCACATCACCTTCTTTGCAGCCTGCATGGTTTTGGCTGGATACGCAGAACATGACAACAGACACTCTATCCTTTGTATCAAAGTCAAACCAGTCTCTCTGTCAGGTAAGTTATTTCTCGCTTACTAAAACGTTACTGAATTGTCCAAGACTACAATTTGTTTGTGATGTAATTTACAGTAAGAATTTAAGATAAAAAGCATAACTACATGTAGTGATCCAAAGGGACAAAGAAATGTTTATTTAGACAGAAAGTTAGGGCCAAGCAATTTTTTTCTTTCCTGTATCAAGTGTGCAAAAGGTTATATTTAATTGGAGGGTGGATTTGTTGTAAATCAGTAAGCTGTATGGGTTTATAAAATATGGAGTGTGAAATAAGCACAGATTTTATACAAACAAAAATCAACAATTTTTTACAAGTTTCATAAATTCATTTTACAAAACTTAATCATTGGAAGGTAAACACCATTAGATTTTTTTACATAAACAAAATAATATTCTTTAAGCTACCTACCAATCCTGTTTGGTTACAAATATTTGCAGCCAAGCAATCTGTATCAATTGTTGTAAATGTAGTGGAAAACAAAAACGGTCATCAGTCTTCTTTTTATACGCAGTCTTCTTAATATTCTTTATAATTATTCTTTATAATAAAGAGAGAATAATTAAACAATTCAAATCCCAAATAGAAACTTCATTGTGGATGTAGCCTCCGGATTGCCAAATAATATTAAAAAGGTTTAAATACCTGCTATCGAGTAATCCATTTAATTGCAGTTGCAACTAGTTTCGACTCCTATGTGGAGCTCCGGCGTATACAAGATCAATTGTACCGATTGTACTAAATTTTACATCGGCCAGACTTTACTAAACGTTTCAAGGAACATCTCCTAAAAGCGTCAACAGTACACCAGACATCATCTTTTGCAGAACATTTAATTTCTCAAGGCCATAATTATACCAGCATTAGTAACAACATGAATATTTTACATTTCTCTAAAGACAGATTTAAATTAAACACCTTAGAAGAGTTTGAGATTTATAAGGCAGTAACATCCGACCACGAAAATGTGTTAAATGACCAACTAACGTTTTCGTCCAATTTTATATATGACACTGCCATAAGGGTACTGGAGAGTGGAAGTGTGTTAGACAGGACTAGGACGCAACCTGGGGTGATAAGATAACGGACGTACACCACTGCAATGACCACCCGCAGTCTGGACTTAAACTCCGTCGGGTTAGCGTCGTCTGTTGTCGTAACTGATCAGTAAATGTTTCGTGTCCGTAACGTGTTTTGTGTCGTGTGTAAATGTTTATTTATTTTTACTTGTTAAATATGACGCTCTTCACATGAAGAAAGAATAAGTCCTTGTACCGCCTGATGATGACTCCACATAGGAGTCAAAACTAGTTGCAACTGCAATTAAATGGATTGCTTGATAGCAGGTATTTAAACCTTTTTAACCCAATTAGAAAGACTAACATCGACTACATTACTTTTGTCAAGCCAAAAGTTTAATACAGGGTGGTAAAAAAGTCCCTGGACAGTTAAATATTTTAAAAAATAATGCAGATAGAGCTACAATACTTGGTACAAAGTTACAGGGCATAAAACTCTATTTTAACACATATTCAGTGATCCAATAACTCTTCAGGGGGACGGCCCACAAGGAGTCGGAAGAAAATCTTAAATGGAAGCATAGGTCAATATGCACATCAAATTAAAGGTCTTTTTTTAGTAGAATACAATGCCACAAACCGCACTTCAAAAGGTTGATCCTGCGCAAAATGGCAGATGTTCAAAGGTTCATTTAATTTACATTGCTATTATACGCTTACTCCTCAGGGGGCAGAGCCCTAGGAATCGGAAGAAAATTGTTAACGTAAGCATAGGTCGATATGCACATCAAATTAAAGGTCTTCACTAGTAGATTACGATGGCGTAAATTTAAGGTCAAAAGAATGCCTGAGTAAAAAATGGCAGTCGTTCAAAGATTCAAAATGGCGGATTCAAGAAATCTTTGAACATCTGCCATTTTGCGCAGGATCAACCTTTTGAAGTGCGGTTTGTGGCATTGTATTCTACTAAAAAAAGACCTTTAATTTGATGTGCATATTGACCTATGCTTCCATTTAAGATTTTCTTCCGACTCCTTGTGGGCCGTCCCCCTGAAGAGTTATTGGATCACTGAATATGTGTTAAAATAGAGTTTTATGCCCTGTAACTTTGTACCAATTATTGTAGCTCTATCTACCTTATTTTTTAAAATATTTAACTGTCCAGGGACTTTTTTACCACCCTGTATAATTAATCAATGTAAGTATATGGCCAACGTTAATATATCCATTTCAAAATGCTTCACTCCCATAAATTATCAGTAGCATTTTTAACTGACTTAGACAAACTGGTTAAAAGTAGTGTTAAAGAAATATTAAGCTTACCAACTGACACTCCAGATTTTATGTTATACTAGCTGTAACCCGCGGGCTTTGCCCCGTTTAACTTCTTAATTTTCAAGATGATCTCGTTTGCATGGCTCAATCATGTCCTGGTTGAAGTTCGTTCGCTACGCTCACTCACCTTTAGGTTGGAGCTCGTTCGCTGCGCTCACTTTCCTTCAGGTTAGCTCGTTCGCTACGCTCACTTGCCTTCAGGTTAGCTCGTTCGCTACGCTCACTCGCCTCCAGGTTGAAGTTCGTACGCTACGCTCACTCACCTTTTGGTTGCAAATTAGCTGTTGTCATAAATGTAAAAGAAATAATAGTGCTAGTGCTGCACCCTGTTGGTAATCCTTGTAACTTTAATGCTATTGAACATCACAGAACAGAACCAACTTGTTTAATTGAAACAGCTGTTAAGATTCAATAATTTCATTTCTCATAAGGTTAACATGGGATGGGAAACTCCAGAGCCACTGGGGCGGAGCCCGAAAGGATTTTTGAAATAGGAATATGCCTATATGTTAATCGGGAATGTGAGCTATCATCATGCCAAATTTCAGCCCAATCCGACCAGTATTTTTCGCGTTTACTTTTCCCATACATACAGCAACCACCTCTTTTTTATAATAGTACTAGCAGAGTACCCGTCCTTCGTACGGGGTTGGCATATAAGTATCAAATGCTTATAGCAGTTATGAGTGAGGACATGGTTTAAGAAATTTCGGTTCTTTTTGAAGTTTGTTCGCTACGCTCACTCACCTTTAGGTTGGAGCTCGTTCGCTGCGCTCACTTTCCTTCAGGTTAGCTCGTTCGCTACGCTCACTTGCCTTCAGGTTAGCTCGTTCGCTACGCTCACTCGCCTCCAGGTTGAAGTTCGTTCGCTACGCTCACTCACCTTTTGGTTGCAAATTAGCTGTTGTCATAAATGTAAAAGAAATAATGCTAGTGCTGCACCCTGTTGGTAATCCTTGTAACTTTAATGCTATTGAAAATCATAGAACAGAACCAACTTGTTTAATTGAAACAGCTGTTAAGATTCATTAATTCCATTTCTCATAAGAGGTTAACATGGGAACCTTTGCTCCAGAGCCACTGGGGCGGAGCCCGGAAGGATTTTTGGGATAAAAATATGCCTATATGTTAATCGGGAATATGAGCTATCATCATGCCGAATTTCAGCCCGATCCGATCAGTAGTTTTCGCGTTTACTTTTCCCATACACACAGACACCACCTCTTTTTTATAATAGTATAGATATAGATAGATAGATAGCCCAAAAAAATATAAAGGACTTGGATCAATCAAGGCTCAATGGGAAGCATATATTCAACAACTTAATTCTATACAAATACTCAGACGGGTTAAAAATTGTTATACAATAAATGAAGACAAATTTAAACGGATAGAAACAATTTGTTTAATAAAAATTACACCTAGAAGAAATTGATCGTAATCAAACAATAAATACCCAAAAATTAAGAAATGACTTAAGAGAAAGGGGTTTGAAAATTGGAAAAGCTTAAAACAGAAGGGTAAAGGTGTTGAACTTTTCAAGGACTATACTCCGGGAAATAAAAGTATTATTAATAAAGAAGGCTTGTCAGAATCTGAGTGGAAAGACAGTATAAAAATGATTGCAAATGTGGTGCCAGTGCGTGTTCTCCACGGCAGAAGTCAGGGCAATAACCTCTGCAGGCATGCCTGTGGTGAGATTGAAACCCTTGCACATGCCCTTGGCTTCTGTCCGTTTGGTGAACTTCTAAGAAACACAAGGCACCACAAAATAAGAAGTATCATAGCAAATGCCTTTAGAAAAAGGTATAATACATGGGAAGTGCAAGAAGAAGTACACTGTCTTTCTTCTAACGGAAGCACCAGAAGAGTAGATATTTTATTGATCGAAAGAGATACTAACAAAGGCATATAATTCTTGATCCTACAATTCGATTTGAAACAAAGATAAATCAAGCTGAGGAAGTAAATGAAGAAAAGAAAAAAATTTATGATTCTACCTTTGAATATTTCAAGCAAAATTTTAAAATTTCAAAAATTGAGGTGATTGGATTGTTTATTGGTTCTAGAGGAACATTGTCAAATTTTTTTGTGAACTTTTGGAAACAATATGATTTGGACAGATCCTTTTTGAAAATTATTATCCATGAAACATAAAGAGGTTCATTGACCATAATGAGAAATCATCTATATATGGCAAACATCAAAATTAATCAGTCTTAAAGCTGTATAATCCTTCGATATTTTATGTGTACTATTTTTCTGTGTCATTGGCAACCTTATTTTTTAAGGCAGAGGTATTTATTTTTATAAATAATTCTTTTCTATGTTGCTGCCGGTATCTGATCTTAAATTAACATATAGATTTAATGGTCGCCATTTCATTGAAAAGTATTAAAAGTATTTATCTGGGTTGTGAAGGTTGTAATTTCCTGGAAAGGGCAATGTTCACTATATGGCTCAATGTCTCCACAGTCATATTACTGAGCCTCTTTCTACTTAAATTTCCTATAGTTGCACCTAGCCAAATCAATTTCAAACTGGTTTTACTATGTTTTATGTAAATGTTTCACCAAAATGGTTATTTCATTTCTTGAAGCAGTCACATTGTGCAAAGATCCTTTTTGAATTACCCCATCCCTCTTAATTCTGCAGGGCAATACAAGATAACAGTTTGACGGTTGGCGAGCGTGACCCAGTCAACCAGGTGTGGTAACAGTGAACTAGGCCCAGAACAGCTGATTAGGTGTGACAGTTCCGGCACGGCATTAGCCGCGCTGGCCCGCCACAATGGCGAAAGCAATGATATAATTCTTTATAATCTTGGATTGACTCATTGGCTCACACGTACATGTCTCTTGTCATGAGGTTTAGGAAAAAAGAGATTTGAGATCAATCTGTATTGCACTAGAACGTTTGAGGGATTACAAAATATATATTTTCCATTACAAATTATTTTTTAAGTACCGGTAAATAGTAAACATAATTTTTGCTTGATATTTTAAGGGCTTACCTTAGCAATTATATACTGTAAGCAATCCAGAGGATTGCTTGGATTGATTGGATCCAGAGGATCCAGAGGATCCAGAGGATTTTTAATGATTGATAATTTTTACAGTATCTTGTTTACTAATTAAAGTCCTACATAATAGGTTGCCCTATATAAATACCTTATTTAAGTTGTTACCTATGTCTTCTGATGTCCAAGTTTTCAATAATAAAACATAGGCTACCTCTTTTAAAGACATTACTGAAGTAATAATCTATGTAAACTCTCAAGTCTTAATCATTAAAATGGAACATTTAACATTGATAATGGTATAAAACACAGCTTACTTTAACCTCTTAAATTACACTTATCATTTTGTTTATATATTTTAAAATAAACCTTTCCATCTATTAAATCTATTTACAACAGATTAACTTGTGTTATAGGTAAGGCATCTTGCTTGTACCGCATATTCTGCACTGGGGGAATCAATCCTAAGGACCCTGACAACCCAATGGACAACCCCGACAATGCCATGATGGTGTTCTTTAGAGATTCTGTGGCTTGGTGTGTTAACCAATGGCCCTTCAAGGTAGGTCAAACATTCAAAAGCTTTCTCTTTTGTAATTTTTCACTTTTTCTGTTCATATCTATTATGGAATTTTTTTATCAAATCAAATCAAATCAAATCGTCTTTATTTCATACTGTACATAAATCAGTACATGGAATGGCGTCAAATACTAGCCTATATCTAAAACTTAACATAAAGAAATCAAGTCTAATAGAAATAAAAAAACACTAATTTAACATGTATTCTTCCATGTTTAAATGCGTAGAGAGACTTTTGGTGACCTTCTAAAAAGTCACTGGCTTTTCCCTGTACAAAAGATGTAAACATTTGCAAAATATTTGGTTAAAACCGGCTAAGGGTAATGGTTTTTGACAAATTTATAAGTTAAGTGTTGCTGATTAGCCAAAATGGTTAGATTGTGTATATAGTTAATTGATTTGAAATCATCTCTAATGGTGTTTTGGAGTCAGTGGATCTACAGATAGAATAATAGATCTTAGGCATGCTACTGTATTTATCTATGGTGATACCTATGTAGAAATAATACAAAGAGACAACTAAAACTGTTCAAGCTGTACAGTGTAGTTTTCGTGAACTCTCAGTTTGCATCATGAGTAATGGTAAGTTGATTGCTCGATGGAGTGTGAAACCAAGAAGCAATGTCTTGAATTTCTGGCCTCCTGTTGCCACTTCAAATTTATGTAGCTAGAACTGTCCTGGTACTCCCTAGTTTAGCTTCACACGTTCACGCATAGACAAATACGTGGACAGGTAAATGCAAGGCTAAAAGAGGCCACTAAAACCTCTAAAGAAAATTTACGTACCGGCACAAAGTTCAGATGAACTGAGAAACTAATAAATGTAAATTATATAATAAAAATTGAACAAATTTTAGGGGTTTTTACCATTTTGCTTTGCCATTTCCCACTTTCAGCTACAATAAAAATGTAGCTTCAAATAGTTGTCATGGGAAGCCGATTGGTTACAGTGCTCGCCTTTAAATCTGAAGGTGGGTAGTTCGATTCCAATCGAGATTGTTTCCAGACCCAGATGGCATTTGTCATTGGGCTATGAATTAATGATGCTATCTAACAAAAAGATCGATTTATATAGTAACAAGAACAGGGTTTTGACTGTTTCCTTTCAAAACGCAAAAAATTCTATTGTCGTAGAAAATGCACACAAAATAAAAAAAATAAATAGGTGACACACACTTATTTGACATACTTTTGCAGGTAATAGTCCTGTTGGTGTTTGGAGCCTACATCAGTGGAGCTATATATGGACTGACTACTCTGCAGGAAGGGCTGCAACGGAGGAAACTGTCGCGAGCTGACTCCTACTCCATTGAGTTCTATGATCGAGAGGACTTCTACTTCAGAGAGTTTCCTTACAGAATGCAAGTAAGTTTGAGAAAATGTATGAATTCTGCAGTGCAATGTTATTTTATACTTACCTTATTCTTTTGTCAAATAAGACAAATTGTCTTTGTTCATGAACAAAATGTGTAATAAATCAAATTAATATGTTTGTATAATTTTTAATAAACTACTTAGTTTTTTAAACTACCAATACCAATATAAATTAGAACCCACAGTTTCATGTTTAACTACTTGTTGGTATTGTGTAATATTAGAAGTTTTTAAGACTTATGAAGCTTGAACAGGCCAGAATTTAATCATGTTTCAAAATATTCTCATCCAAATTTATATTTGCTTAAAACGTAGATTTAGTTTCTAGAAAAATCCAAGTAGTCCAATTGGCAAGACCAAATCCCTAGATTGTCATAATTAACGTTTTGTTTTGGTGTCCTGAGAAGCCAAAAACATCATTAATCAAATTTGTGTATACTTTGTGTCTATGTGATAACTATAGCTAGAATATAAATATTTTATCAAACAAGTAAACTAACTTATATTTGAACAAGCTCTAAAACCAACCTTTGAAAAGTGTCTTTGGTTCATCAAAGTTTTCTGTTATTGTAGATAGTAATTTTTGTCCATCATGATATATAACACATATGAATCAATCAAACATAAAAAGCTAAATAACTTAATATCAATTGCAGGTGATCCTCTCAGGTGAGTTGAACTATTCCGATCCTCTGATCCAAGATCAAATTGAGAACTTGACTCGGACATTTGAAGCGTCTCCGTACATCTCGACTCCTCTTTACACAGAGTCTTGGCTGCGGTCCTTTGTTAGCTACGTGAAACGCAACCAAGACTACCTCAATGTCTCCATTGATACAGAGGACAGCTTCATAAAAACACTTAATGAGGTAATATATTTTAAATTTTACACTCAATTTCTTCCTATTTCATGGAATAGAGTGTTGTTGACCACATGAATTAAAGCTATACTCAGTTTACTTTAGTTTGGATATGGTTTCATATATATGGTTGAACTTTTATTACTTGGAATGTAGAAAATAGATTTTCTTTATCTTTGGCCGTTATTGGAATGGTTAGGAAGAAAACATGGTTAATCTTATTTACACATGAAGGAAATGTGGCTCATTCTATGTTAACAAAATTGCCAAAGCTTTTTGTGGTGTGAAACTAAACATCTTGATCATTTGGCTTTCAAGAGACAATCCTGACCAAGAACACTAAGAACCAGTTGTCTAGTCAGGCCCGTTTTTGACCCTGTCAGTGCCCTAGGCACAACTAATAGTAGCGCCGCTTTTGCAATATGTATACAGGGTATCCACCGACGCGGATAACCGGGAATCTGAGAATTATGCTTGGGTTTTTTTTTTAACTGGGAATTATGCATGAATTATGTATATCCACCTGGAATTTTCAATTTACCGCCATCGCGAATGACAACAGTGATGTTTCCGTGGCCGCGAGGGATGATTAACATTTTGCCGCAACCGCGGGAAACAATAATTGCAATGTCTTCACGGCGGTGGGAGACGATTACGATATCTACAGGACCACTGGAGATACAATAATGATGTCTTCACGGCCGCGAGGGGTGATCAGAATTTTGCCACCGCGAGACAATGATAATCCCCTCCACGACAGCGGGATATGATCATATATTGCCGCGATCATGGAAGGTAATAATTATGTCCACACAACCGTGGAAAACAGTCAGAATTTTGCCTCAGTCGCGGGAGACAGTTACGATGTCTACATGGCCGGGAGGGATCATCAGAAGTTTACTGCAATCATGCAAATTCAACCATCAATTTTTTTTATTTTCCAATTATTTGGCGCCCCCCAAAAGAGCCAATTGCCTCGCGCCCTAGGCACGTGCCTATTCGGTAAATCGGCCTTGTGTCTAGTCACTAACAAAGCTACACATGTGTTATCCTAAACTAGTCTAAACTCATCATGCATTCTCAGTCAGCTGTGAAGTGCTACAAGCAGCATTATGTTGTGAAGTGCTAACAAAATTATAAATTTTGAACATGTTCAAGAAAATTGAATATTATTTAAATAATATAATCTGAACAAATACATTCTGATATAAAACCAAGTTAAATTCCTGAAATCTTTGAACAATACAAAATTAATTAACTCCATTTTCCAATGTGTGCAAATGAATTACCACCCACTTTATATTTATTAACTTTGTGTCTGCTATGAAAACTAAAACTCATTTTTTTACAGTTGTGGTTGTTCAAACCAAACCCGTTCTCCTTGGACGTGAAGTTTAATGACGCGGATACAAGGATCATCGCTTCTCGCTTCATGATACAAGCGGTCAACATCAGTGATGGTAACATGGAAAAAGACATGGTCAGAGACTTGCGGAGAATCTGTCAAGAGAGTCATCTGAACGTTAGCGTGTTCCACCCGTACTTTGTTTTCTTTGATCAGGTCAGTTTCTACTCTGTAAGTGTGCTATTTTTGTTGGTTAATCTTGATAAAAGGTATCAGCAAGCAGGTTGGGTATTGCTTTCAATATACTAGAGAAGATATAATTCATAAAGGTAGCAAAAGTATGAATGAACAGTCTGGTGTAGTAGATTTCTACTCTAGTTGGCCACATATTCTTGCAAATTCTTGCTCTTTACAGTCTCGCCAATATGATTTTCTAGTTTTAAAATAAAATTTTGCAGACATACACAAGAAACATCTGCTATGTTAGTTAGCAAAATGTATAAAGTTACCCTACAAATTAAGCGGCTAATTTTTGGACGCTGGATTCAATTTTAAATATCTGCAAATTGTTTTAGCGTTCCCAACATTTTACAATAATAAAACAACTAGTGGAAACTCCTTTTATCGCTATATGTTATTTTTGTAAGAAATGGTTTGATGCAATGAATTTTTACTCTATTTGATGCAAACGTTTGGGTTTTTCTTCTAACTTATAAAAACCTGTTCCAGTTTGAGCTGGTCCGTCCCACCTCCATACAAAGCATGATTGTCGGTGCCACTATCATGATGATTATCTCCTACATCTTCATTCCCAAGTTTGCCTGTTCGCTGTGGGTCGCCTTCTGTATCATATCCATAGAGATTGGAGTTGCCGGATACATGGCCTTGTGGGATGTCAACCTAGACTGCATCTCTATGATAAACCTCATCATGTGCATCGGATACTCCGTAGACTTCACCGCTCACATCTGTTACGCCTACATGTCATCCAAAGAGGAAAGAGTCGAGGATAGAGTGAAAGAGTGCCTTTATTCTCTTGGTCTTCCTATATTCCAAGGATCAGTCAGTACGATTCTCGGAGTAGCCGCTCTTATTTTTGCTCAGAGCTACATATTTCTGGTGTTTTTCAAGATGATTTTCCTCGTTATATTTTTTGGTGCTCTTCATGGAATGTTCCTTCTGCCTGTTCTCTTATCGTGGTTTGGACCTGGGGCATGTTCCCCTAAGAAGTCTGATTTGTCACGAGTAGAAAAAACATTCCCTCATCCCTACTGCATCCCTCATCCCTCACTGCATCCGATGTCTCAGATGAACGGGAACGGAAAGCACTTTGGTGTTCCTCTTCACGGAATGACGGACGCACCCAGGCTCGTAATGTCCACCTACAATGGGAACATCCGAGGGAAATTCATTGTAGAAGGAGAAAAAGACCTCGGACTTGGAACCTCGGGAGAGGACTCTAGTGAATCTAGCTCTTCAAAGTCTCAGCGGCGCAGACAAGAAGTTGAAGACGATGAAGTGCAGCGTAGACGTTACGTAGAAGGTTGGAGAAAGTCGTCAGTACCTAACTCTAGCTCAAACCGTTCTCCGCTGACCTACCACAATGGAGGGTACATGAGTGAAGAGGACTCGCAACCTTGGAGAGGTCATCCAGCGTCAAATCAGAACAGGCCACGAGCACAACACTACTCGCCACACCATGGGCGGCCATACCCTGGGGATGGGAGGTACCCCTAGACTTCAGCAACCCAAAGACTTGTATAAAGTTCCATTATTGACATCTGTGGAATTGTGTGATTTTAGTTTTTAAATGCACTATGCTTTCAAATATCACAACTTTAACTTTTAATAAAATGACAAAAGTAAATCCAAAAACACAAACTAGTTTTAGAAAAACAAGGTGCACAGTAAAATAATTTCTTTGGTTATGTTATAAAATTCTTACTGTTGTAATAAGTCCACAATTGTAAGCTTTATGTTCATTGCTGAGTATCTTTAAAATACTCAGTAGTTTTCTAATTAGTACTTAAAATATTTATAACCTTTTAAAGTGTAAAGTAATGTTGTAGGTCTAAGTATTTTAAATCATAAAAATCCTCAAATGATTCTGTGATAATGCCAACAGGGTTCTCTAAGAACTGACCCTATTAAACTACACGTTAAAACTATCTTGCATAATTCCATGTATTTATTTTCATTGTATATAATAACATACTTATGATATAGTGAAGTAATGTTTACAGGAATACGTGTTTCATATAACATTTGATCCAAACCATTATTTTCATAGCATGTCAAAATCTAGTTTACCATCACATCAATGATATTTTAAGTTAACAACAATTTTTGTGAGAGAGGAACTTCTTTAATAAATATGTCAACTGTAAATACCTTTATAATAATTTTACTATATAATATAATATGTAAATACTCTTTCGTACACATTTATGATGACTAGTCATTTTGTCTCCATAAAGGTAAATAAAACTCATGGTGGTAGGAAAAATGTAGGTGGTGTGCTATTCCTGTCATATGCTGACGTCATCCAAAAAGCAAACACTACTTCCCTTTTAAGAAAAAAATTATAAGAACAATAACAATCAAATCAAAACAAATATACACTATAAGACAGTTACAATCAGGTGATTTTCTGTTTGCAATCTAGGGGAAGTCAGCATACAACGGGAGTATCACACCTATGTTTATTCCTTCCACAAAGGGTATAACTTTTGAATGACGCGTAATAATTTATAGTCTTAAGTAAATATAACTGTCAGCAGATCTATTTGATTGCTATTTTGACTATGGATACTAATGCAAAATTTGTAATGTTACTTATCAAAATATTTTCACTTCAGAATTTACATACTATGTTGCCTTTGGATAATCAGGCTTAATTAAATGAGCCGGATTTAGGAGAAAGCTGGACCATCAAGAGACCATTATAAATAAATTAGTGTATTAGTGACCATTGACAAATTTGGGACAGCTAAGTTTGACATTAATTTTTTTTTTTTTTTTTTTTTTTTGTGAGCGGGTGGCAAATGGACATATGGGTGTTCTGTGTTTTGTTTGATTTATCACAACTGAACAGTGCCACCTACTACACAATAATTTTAATAATAATGTATTAACAATTGTATGATAGGTTCAGTAATTAATGTGATGTTTCAAAGTATGTAATAGCATATACAGATTACAAATCAAATGTAATATCAAATAAGTGAGTATTGTAATTTCATATTGGACTGTACTTCAATATGAAATTACATACATACTAGTACATTTAGACTATTATTTTTTTGGGAAATGTCGAGTCGGACTTTTGTGGGAGTACAGTACCAAATTTCAAATGAATATGAATAAGTTCTAAGTTTAAAAAGTGCAGAGTTTGGGATGGAATAAAGTTACATTTTTAATCTCCTTTTTAGATTTATCAGCAAAAGCATTTTGGGAAACATCACAGAATGGGAACATTGAATTTTATGATTTTGAACAGTCTAAGTAGGTTACATTTTAGTTCCTTAAATAGGTTTAAACAAGGTTAAAATATGCACCTAGGTGGCATTCCCATGTCATTAATAATAATAATAATATTTTTTTTATTTGGGCATATTTTAAATTTGTTGGTCCACTCTTATTTACAACGATCTTTGTAAGTTGATCAATAAAAATTAAAATATTTCTAAAGCAAACCATGTAAAATTTTCATGTTAGTGTGTTACTAAATATTTGAAATTACTAAGTTATCCGTAGTTACAAAAAAAAACAACAACATACTAAAAATTTGTATTATTCTTCATCCTTGATGAATTAATAGCAAGTGAAAAACTAAGTAGATGTGTAATGTTAGTAGAGATGGAAGCAAACAATATTATCTAGAGTTTTGTCAAAGTTATTGCTCAATTTTTATTGCAAATATTTTAAAGCTTTGTAAAATGTAGATGTTATGTGTATTTTTTACAGAATGACAGTAAATTTATTTTACAATAATATCTTGATTTCATTTAATTGATTTACCCTCATACTTTGTGGGATTGGCGATTGCGGTGACATATTATTTGAACTTTGAAATTAATAACATGTGATCAAATGAGTGGACGTCACCTGTTTGCCGTGCTAGCTTATTGGACTTCCGGTGCAGGACATAGCCAATTCTTAGAATCTCTTTAGAATTGAATTCTACCAGGCCATGGCCTGGAGTTAAAGGTGCATGCCTGCATGGTTGTGGCTGGTAGCTCGGTAGCTGGTGGTGAAACCCATGGCTGTCAAAGCCACAGTTACCCAGTGGCGAGTTCCTATGCATTCTATATTTAGGTCAGTTTATTAGATTGTGATATAATTCATGCCAAATATATATATGAAGAATACGATATAAAACAACTATAGATATACCACAGCCACCAGGCCGTGGCCTGATAGAATCGGCTATGTCGTAAGTATAGTGTTGTTTGGCGCCAGACGTCCCATAAGATAGCATTGCAGACAGGTGACACCAGCTCATTAATTCGCGTATTGGTCATTTAAATTTATGAATATAGAAAATGACGTGATTTCTGTTGAGATGCTAGCCTCTTGGACTGCTATTTTATTTCGATGTTTTGTCACTTTTTGTATGTATCTATTTAAATGACATTTGGGTTTGGCGAATCCTACCCAGGTTCACTGCTTCAGGGAAACTAATAAAGTGTATTACCATGGTGGAAGTCCTTCCATACCATGGTAGCAAAATTCCCTATAGGGAAAGTAGCTTTTACCTTAGGTGGCACAGTAAGACCTAGGCCCGGGACCAATTTACTTTTTCATTTTGATGTCCCCAGGGAACAAAAACACCATTTGTTCAAATTTCTTTTTATACATGCATATATATATAGGCCTATACATATATATACAATTGTTTGGATAAAGGGTTACTATTATAAATGTTAAAAAAATCATACTAACTCAGTACCCTGTAATTATTATTTTTTTTATAAAAAAAAATAAAAAAATAAAAAATAAATAATTACAAGGTACTGAGTTAGTATGATTTCTTTAATATATATATATACATATATGTGTGTGTGTGTCAGTGAACACGACAACTTGAGTAGCCTAATTTTTGTCCAATCTTGATGAAATTTGGTTTGAAGGTGTAAGGCATAAGATAAACATGAATGAGTTCGCAAACCAGCATGATTGGACCATGGGAACTGATTTTACAGGGGTTTTTATGGGGTAAAAGTTGGGTTTTCTCATTTTTTACCATCAAAACACAAAATTTCCCTATTTCTCTCTAGCCTTTTTAAAGAGCTAAAAAAATTCGGTATACCAAAGTGTTTTTGTATGGTTTAATAGTTGCGGAAAAAATAAAAATAAAATGTAATTTTTTTTTAATTCCCATGCTATTCTTATGGAGAATATTGTAATATGTTGTAGTTTGCTTGTTAATTGATATATTTTGATCTAACTTACCAAATTTATTTAGTTTGTACTTAACTATCCATATTTTACTAAAAAAAACACACTTTATTACTTTCATTTTAGCAGCAAACCAGGTAGGGGAACTCGGGGTGGAACGGGATACTTATTGTTTACATTACCATACAAGTATAAAGATGTATAATAAATACGATTTAAAGTTAGAAAACAAAACCTTATTTTATTTTGTACAAAATAGTGTAAAATAGTGTAAAGTGTAAATTTATTGTTTTTATTTTTATTTTAAATAATGTTTACATATTTCTCATTCCGCCCCACCCATCGGGCAGATTGGGATTTTCCTGTGGGGCAGAATGGGATATGGAGAATTTAATAAGAAAACATGTATAATAAAGTGAGAAAAACAAACTAAAAGAAAACTAAAATGTAAATAGACCATTTAGTTTTAGATTCAAATGTTAAGTAAACAAACTTTGTTTTGGTATATCTTTAATTCTGAAAAGTACTCATTTACATGATTATATCACAATATTAAATTCACCAACATGAAAGTAATTCAAAATTCATATCTTCATCTTTTTCACGACCCACTTCAACGGAAATAACCACTTCAACTGCTTTTGACATTGATTCTTCATCTCATTTCTGTTGATCAGTTTTTCTGAAATAATTTATCACACTCTGGAATAGTAATACAACACTTACTATTAAAATGCTTGCAACAATAGTTATTTGTGTAACTAGTGGTGAAAGTGGCACTTTGCTGCACACGAGAGCAATGTTTACGCACGAGCCGCAGGCGAGTGTGGAATGATCTCGAGTGCAGCAAAGGCCTTTTTCACTCGTGTTACACATTATATTTTTCCTAGTGTCACTATAAAGCATATAAATAATTAGTCTTTCAAACACTATACAACACGTTTTTAGGTTCAGCTGGCAACACAAATGGTGCCTTTGCCTTAAAGAAAGTACTGAAAGTAGTACCTGCGGTCCGTATCACTCCGCTATTTTTCCTCGGTAAGAAATGTGCTCCGCGTTTTGAGAATATAGTTCCGTATGTTTTTGTAATTTGAAGTGGTTTCCGTGCCTAAAAAAATGCTTTAAAGGTATTTTCTTGTTTATTACGATCGTAGGAATGTTTTAAAAGAGTGAAAATTTAAAAACGTACGTTTTCATGTCCCTGGCATTTTACTTCGTAGCTACTGGATTTGTAGTTTATTATTATGTGTTTTAATATTTTTTGGGATGGGGGCAACATGTTACACACATTTATTTGGTTTTAAATAGGTTCTAGGTATTTTTTTCGTATTTTTAAAGTCTCGAAATTCACGACCATGACGTGTCCCTAGGGTACATTTTCCAACTTTCACGCTGTTTTTAGACTAATTATTCATGCAGCAATATATAAAGCCATATTTTTATGTCATCAATGGTTATTAAACTTACAAAAAAGGAGCATATTATAATTTTATTGTCATTGCAAACTGACTACCATGACATAATAAGTCTGTCCCTCGATTTGGCGTCACGACCATTTGGGAAAATTTTTCAACTTTGGAGCACGACAGTGGCAAGCCTCACGTTGATGGAGTCAGTTGGTTTTAGAGACTAGTTCGGGGTGTACGTCAGGATTGTAGTGCCGGTCGTTTCGAGTTGAAAGGAGGAATTACAAGATTAATACAGGAAAGGTTGTGTTTTTTGTAATTTTGATGTGTCCATGACCGTACATAGTCATTCGATGAAGTAGACATGGTGTTAATTTTTGTTTATAAGATATTTCAATTGCTAGATTAACCTAGAAGTCCACTTTGTATCCTCGAACATGAGGTGCAGAGCTACCGCCAGAACAGAGCCAAATAACACGTAATTTCACGACCAAAGTTTCACGACCATCGCGGGTTTTTTCACGACCTATCCAGCCTTATGGATTATAGTGTGTTTGGTCGTGACAATAACTTTAATATAATTGTAATTTGAACAGTTTAGTTCAATTGAAACACATATTTTTATTATAACTAATAGTATAATTAAGGGATTGTTTAGAAAGATTTAGATTGTTTTATAAAATTCACGACCGTACCGCTTGTCCCTGACCATCACGTTTATGATTTCTGTCATAAAAATTTCAAAAATTAAAATATCGTCATATTTCAATGTTTTATACACAAAAGAAGCACGCCTCTATGCAAACATAACGATTTTTCGGGTCTCAGGTAAGTTTTTTCGGAGTTATACAAACTTAAAAAGATATTATTGGCTTTTTTTTCAATGTTTTTGAGTTTTTTATTTTTTTCTAGAAAGACCAAATATACTAAAAGCTCAGTGACCTTTTTAATGTATAATGGTCATAAAAGTAAATTAGTTTATAGCAAAACATAGTTATAAAAATAATATTAACTATTTTTAATATTCATTTAAACGTCTGTTATGGTCGTGACAGGATTTTGTGTTTTTCCACTAAAGATGCTCTTTTAAAAAAAAACTACCAAAGATATTGCGTTACCATGGACATTTTATGAAACTTCAAATGTTAATGAAATCAAAAAAATAATAAAAGTTTTGAAAAAAGGGGAAAAAAATTTGCAAAGTGTGTTTCCTGAAAACGTACGTTTTTAAATTTTCACTCAAAAACGTTTAAAAGAAAAGTCCACAAAGTTCAGAAATACCGAAACTATAAACACGAAATGACAGGTTAAATCGTAGTTATCATAGTCAATCAGCTGCTCATAGTATTATTATCTTTAAGTGTTGCCAACCTATTTCCAAGCGTACACGGATTACGTGCATAATAGAACCACGCTGTTTTGTGTTGTTTCGTTGGAATCCTGATGTGCGGCAAAGTATAAACCGTACGGCAAAGTATAAACCGTACGGCAAAGTATAAATATGCAGCAATTAGCAGCTTTCTGTACTATAAACAGTACAAGAAAGCCAACTTTGTCGGGTGACTGTAGGAAAAACATATTGGGGTAGAACGGGATACCGTACCTATACATTCTGCCCCATCCCGTTCCACCCCGACAACACAGTTTAGGTTATCAAATTTGGATTCAAAAGACGTCTATTTCAACTTAGAATATTACTAGGCTAGAGCTGAACAAGCATACTGTAAGAATATGTGTCAGTAAAAGCTACAAACTTGATATTAAATAACTTACCTTACGCAGAAAACTGATAAAAGTTGATGAAATACCCTTGTCACAACACAACAGTTCAGATGCGTAACACTTTTCTAGCTCTAATAGAACCAAAATGGCCTCCGAGGCTGCCTTTTGAGTTGAATAGTTAGTAGAACGCTTCACTACTAGGTTACAGCACCATACAACAAAAATAATACAGAGTTATCCCGTTGTACCCCGGTATCCCGTTGTGCCCCGACTACTCGTTAAATATAATATTTAAATAGATTATTACATTTTAAATCAATACAGGCAGATGGAAATTCGCTTAGACGGCATGTTTGTTAGTATTACCATGATACCTACGGTAGTAACTTATTCCCTATATTCGCTCCCGTGTCCCGTGTCGAAAGAGACATATAATGCTCAACATTTGAACCAATGTCCCACAAC